GTGGGGGGGGGGGGGGGGGTCGTCTTCAGACTCCACCCCTCACTCTGAGAGGACTGGACCTCTCTAAACCTTAGTTTCTTACTCTGAAAAGGGGTGTGGGGCTGTCTCATGAATTATTCATGGATGGTGCCCAAAGCCTCCCAGTAACCTGGCTGTTCTTTCCTTCGTGTAATGCTGCTGCAAAGGGTCCACTTTAACTCATACGTGTGTGTGTGGTGTGTGTGTGTGTGTGTGTGTGTGTGTGTGTGTGTGTTTACTTTATTAAATACCTCTCTACCTGTGTGCATACTTACTTTACTGTTGTAGGACAATCTTTTTATACACTGTAAAGATGTGCCTCTGCCTAAGGCACATTCTGATTGATTTAATAAAAATCAGAATGGCCAATAGCTAGGCAGGACATGGTAGGTGGGACTTCCAGGGAGAGAGGGGAAGGATCTGAGGTGCTCGAATTAAGCCAGCGAGGCTTGGAGTAGGACATACAGAATGGATGAGAGGTAACAAACCATGTGACAGAACATAGATTGACATAAATGGGTTAATTTGAGTTATAAGAGCTAGTTGGGAACAAGCCTAAGCTAAGGTCGAGCATTCATAATTAATAAGAAGTCTTCATGTCTTTATTTGGGAACTGATGATCCAAAGAAAGTCCAACTACACTTCACTACATCTATAACTCTGTGTGTGTATGTGTGTGTGTGTGTGTGTGTGTGTGTGTGTGTGTGTGTGTGTGTGTGTGTGTTTGCCTGTGTGTGTAATGTGCATTTACTACACCTGGACTGTGAAACATGAAGAACACTAAGGAACACTGGAAAGTCAGCACCAATTACAATATCTGCCAAGGCCCTAGGCTGGCAAGGGAATGAATTACAGGTCTTGCCTTGTCATCTCTCCCTCTTGCTTTATAGTCCTTGTCTTTACTTGCAGGTTTGTCACTCTTGGCGATCGGGTGTGCTCGGCCCACGAGTCCTCGGGCTCCTGCTCCCATGTCTTTCCTCAGAGGCCTCACTTCCCGGTTAGGACGTCTGATCTGAGGTGGAGCTCTGACAAAAGACAGACAGGAAAACAAACACTCATCAAAGACAAGTGTGGAACACCATCTTACTCAAGAAGCTGTCACAGCTTTCCTAATGGATAGTGGTTGACACAGTGATTAAATATAGGTGAAACATACGGAGCCATAACTCTGCCAAAAGTAACCATTAATCACCAACAGAGGGCAACACAGCCTGCATCGGCCTGTTAACGTTAGCAGCTGAACTCCACTGACTGCCTTAAATCAAGAATAGTTAACTTAGAAAAAATTAAGACCTTTTCATTAAAGGACGGGATTTAAAACCCCAACTATTTGTATAGTTTAAATCTTTCCTTTTTACAACCAAGAAGACTTTCTCCTTACACTGGAAAAGTCAGCCTTTCACAAAGCAAATGAGAGGTGGTAGGGCTCGGCATGGACACAGTCTTATAAACAACGCATTTATGTTGGAAAATACTGCCCATGTCTTGTGGGTGCCAAAAGTTATTCTAGGGCTCCAGGTGTGATGAGCAATTCCAGTGGATCCAATGCCTCACAGCAGCACGTTTTGTCGGTACAATGCAACTTCCACCATCCAACACAGCCTCAGACTCTCAGCAGAGCACAGCATCCCTCTGGGAGGGGACTCTATCACTTCATCTTCCATCTCCTTTCTCAAGCCATCCCTCCCTCTGCTTTCTTACCCCCCCCCCATGGCTACTCTGACATCTGTGGCAGTGCAGACCCCTGTGTGCAACTGCTTTTCCTATTATTACTACATTGACTGTCCCACCTCTGGGCTCATGGGCTGTGTGTGTATTTTAGCTCTCTTCCCTTTCCCTAATGCTTTCATTAGCGTATGTTAATTATACATACTAACGGATTTCATTATGACATTTTCACACATGTACATAAAGTACTTTAATCACACTAACCCCTCAATTACCCTCTAGCTCTCCACCCACTCCCCTCAGCCCTTCTCTTCCAAACTAGTTCCTCTCCTCCCCCCCCTCCTTCCTTCCCACCACCGGTGTGTGTGTGTGTGTGTGTGTGTGTGTGTGTGTGTGTGTGTGTGTGTGTGTGTGTATGTGTATGTGTGCCCGAGAACTAGCTCTCTGTCTCTCTCTCTCACTCTGTGTGTGTGTGTGTGTGTGTGTGTGTGTGTGTGTGTGTGTGTGTGTGAATAAAAGAGTTTCATTAGGGTTGGTCACAGGAGCATGTGCACCACTGAAAAGGCCTCTCCTTCCCACATTAACTCAGGGAAGAGTGGGGCCCCATGAGCACCCCCTTCCATGACAGGGTGCTGAAGGGTCAGTCTTGTAAAGATCTTTGTGCAAGAAATCGCAGCTGCTGTGAGTTCAAGAGCACAAGCCATGCCATGCCTGGAAGTGAGCATTCCATAGTGCTCCACCCTTCCTTCCACTCTGACACTCTTTCCACCTCCTTGTCTGCAATGTGCCCTGCAGTCTTGGGTTTAAATTCACCTACTCACCAGTTTCCTTACCAGTGTGATAGACGGTGGCGCAATAACAGCCAATTTGACAAGACAGGAAAATGGCTGACGATCCATACCCTCGGGGGAAAATGGTAAAGTACCATGACAGTTCCACTACGGTCTAATGTACAAAGATCCCAGGTCTCACTCGGTCTCTGGATGGTGGTTCAGCTTTGGAAGGTTGTAGAACTTTAGCAAGTGAGGCCTGGCTGATGCAGTGGGTTGATGGGTAGAGTCCAGCCCTGTGCCATCTCTGCTTCTTGATCTGCCAAATGTTAGTTGCCTCACGCTTCTGCCTGCCTGCAGTCCTGCCACTGCCATGCCTTCACTTTCATGATGAAGTTCCCAGAAACCTGAGTCAAAATAAGCCTTTCCCCATTAGGATTCTGTCACAGCAGGCAGAAAAGTAACCACTGCATAGAGCATCTTCATATTGTGGGAATCCGCTGAGAATAAAATGGCTGCTGAGAGCCGCACAGCTGTCTATCGGGCTACTCACATTGACATCTTCATCCTCAGAGTAGATCAGCTCAACAGTTACTGAACAGCCATTTTTACATACAGCTAGTGACACCACTGCCCCCCAGAGAAGACGGAGATAAGCAAACAACAGTGTGACAGGGGTCCTTGGAAAAGGAACTGGGTGAGAATCCACAGCAAAATGACCAGAAGACACTTCAGAAATTGAAGTTTTATTACATTATTGGTTCTAGGGCATTCTTGGTCACTTAAACATTCATTAATGAAATAAAATGGTGAAGAGACTGGTGAAGAAGAAGAATAATGACAAATTGCTGTTTAGAATACTGCAGGTCTGGGGACCTCGCTCAGTAGCAGACTGCTTGCCCAGCATGCACCAAGCCCTGGGTTCAACATCTAGCACAGAAAATAAAATAAAACCTCAAGCCTTTTAGTGTCTCAATGCAATCCTTCTGTTGCTGTTTGGACTGAGGCAGGCCTGTTTTACTTACGTTTTCTGTTCTGAGGAAGAGAGACACAGTGGTCAAGTGCAGTCTGCTTTGTGTATTTGTGTATTTGTACATGCAGAAATGTGTTTCCTGCATCAGTCAAGGGCATCAGCAAAGAAAAGAAATCGAGACTCTCTCTCCATTCTGCACACATGGAGTTTCTCCTATTGTTAGCAGCTGTGGTGCTATTTATGACTGTCACTATGGTCCAGCTTTGTAGATACTACTCCAGCATGAGGCCTCTGCTCACCTTTAGCAAGGCCAGCCCTTGCGGCTGTGTGCAGGCTCTCTGCACTGCAGTTGCTAGACTTGCCCCAAGACAGCCCTGACTCTCTGCTTGCTACTTAGCAGCTGCTCAGAAGTCCTCGCGCAGTCCACTTTGTGCACACACCTGGCTTGGTAAGCTATGTTATAAGATTGCTTCTAAGCCGGTGCACAGGCGGCCTTCCAAGGGCTGCCACCGAGCTTCTCCTGCCATGCTCTCTTCTGATGGGCTCACAGAGGCACTGAATGAAGTGCTCACCAAGCTGTAGGTGGCATCTGTGGCAAGTCCCACGTCTTGTGGGAAGTACGCGTGTGCTCCCCACATCTTCAGTTCTGCCTCACTGCAGCTGGATGTTACATGTGTGACAGACTCTGTCAATGTCCCAAAGGACACCCTTGATTCTGTTCTGTACTCCTTTGTCCATTGCCGCATCACTGCACAATGTCATGCTTCACTATGGGGGCTCTGTGACAGCTTCCAGGCTGTGCAAGCAACGGCTTCTTTAAAGAGAGGCTTTAGTGGGGCTGCCCAGCACCACCAACCTCAGCCCTGATGCTCAGACAGAGACCGACACTGTACTAGCATGCAGCTTTTCAAACACAGAAAGCAACTAGATAGTCATCAGAACATAATGAATAAACACCAGCCTGGAATTCTGCACTGAACTACCATTTAAGAGCGGCAGGGAGACAAGCTATTCTAAGATACAAACTGATAGCTTACCACCAGGAGGGACCTTCACTGTGAGAACCACTCAATACGCATCAGCAAGGATAAAAGTGAAGCAGAGAGAGACGAATAAGGAACAAAGAGGTGAAAACAGGTGTCTACACACTCCTTCAAGAAATGCTTCTGGAATACCTACACTGTACCACCCATTCTTCTTGGAGCTGGAGATGCAGCAGTGATCAAGTCCAAGGCCCCAGGTCTTGAGATCACATGACTTGGGGGCATGAACAATAAGAATTGTGCAGTCTGGTAGCAGTAAGTACAAAGGGATAGAGTCTAAGGTTGGATTCTTGGAGTCATCTGGTAAAGACAAGTAAGGGTGTCAACCATTGAGAGTCAGGTGGAAGCTGCAAACCTGCCCGCACACCCTGCCATGCCAGGCTGCCCTTCATACTCCCCAAGCATCACTCTACGTCATTCTCACAAGCATGGCAAGGGGCAACTGCCACTCTGCTCTCAATTACAGAGGAGAAAAATGAGGATGAAGCTGGCTAGCTTGTCCTTAGGGCCACTGAGTGGCAGAGCTAAGAGGAAACACCCTCTACTCCCAGAGCTGGCAACTGGTCTATGCAAAGGCAGCAGCCTTCCTAGTAGAAGACGCTGCATGGCAAGGACCTCACTCTTGTTTGTCAGCATCCAGAGGGTACTGATGAGGTCAAGATGAACTGAATCGGGAAGAACATGGGAACTGGGGACCAGAGACAAGAGGAGGACATGACAGAAGAGGCCACAGTAACAAAAGGAAGAAGCACAAAACAGAGCCATGTAAAAGGCGCAAAAGCAAGAAGAGGGAAAGAGTTCCAAAAGAGATGGCAAACAGCAAGTGCCACAGAGGTGAGGAGTAAGTCTAGAGGGAGCAGATGGCATTATTACACTAGTGAGTTGCTCAATGCAGTCAAGAGTTCAGTCCCGGTGCTGCAGTGACTTGGGATGTGGGATTCCTAGTAACTAAGGAAAAGGAGAGATAAGTTACACTCAACAGCAGACAGCAGCTTGCCAGGAAAAAGACAGCAAGGCAAAGTTTTCTCAGTTCAAATGTAAATGTGTTATGGTTTCATTCTGACATTGCTATCTTGTCACTCCTTCATTTGTCTCTAATACATTATAATTCTACTTTCAGTTAAAACATGGAAATACCAAGTTTAGGGGGCTGGAGAGATGGCTCAGTGGTTAAGAGAACTGCTGCTCTTGCAAAGGACCTGGGTTCAGTTCCCAGCACACACAGCAGCTCACAACCATCTGTAACTCCAGATCCTGGGGATCAGATGCCCTCTTCTGGCCCCCACAGGCACCAGGCACACATGTGGTACACAGACATACAAGCAGGGACAGCATTCACACACATAAAAT